AACCAGTCTTTCTTTGGAAGGGAAAGAATAAAATATTTTCTTATAGAAAAGCTACAGATAATTTGTTATAAGTTAAAGGACAAGGTTAAAATGTTAGACAAATATTAATTCCAGTTTTCTATAGGCAGTGCACAGGTGCAACTTGAACAGCATATTATATGTTATAATCATTAAATTCATTCAACCAGACCTTAGAGAGTTAAAAACATATATTCTGAGGAACAGGACTCCTCGGTCCAAAGGATGAGAATGAAACAGTGCAGAATATTTGTGTATCAAGGTGATTCCAGTTTCCAACTGGGAAAACAGGACTGTTAACACCCACATCCCCTGACAACTGTCCAATTATGTATATCACACTTGGCCTACTGTTTGCAGTAGAAGTAATCAATAAAGGATGTGGTTGAGTGAACATAGATTTTGGTTGAACCAATGCATGAAAACTTAATCATTTACTCAGAGAGAAGAAATCAAATAGAGCAGAGATGAAACAGCCACTAAGGGGTTTGTTGATTGTGCCACCAAGTTTGTGGGCCACAGATGAAAGTAATAAGGCAAATGGAATCAGTGACAGGAGAAAATGTAAAAAGCTATTCTTAATTTCATGAATTAATAGAAATGTTTTGATGTATTTTTGGGGGGTCATTTTTAGGAAATTTCGCATCAAAGCCTGGATGTTCCATTTTAAAGAATATATGAAAATTACTAGGGCATGTCATTTCTCTCAAGCAAAAAGAAATTAATTTCCAGCTATAACAGAAAGGTAATTTTCACACTTGAAACTTTGTACTGATTGATTGAAAGATCTCCACTGTGGAAAGTTTCCTAGGAAATAATTTAACCCGAGTTTGCAAGAAAATTCACAACGAGTATGGAATAAACCCAGAGGTAGGCTAGTTGTGACCAATATGTCTTGAATAATTCTCATTTTTGTGATTTTCTTCCCCCTAGATTCTTTTCAAAAGTCACCCTGATTATTTGGAGAGTGTGGCATTTCAGTAAAATGAGTTATTTCAGTAAATGAGGCCAAAAAATGCCGTAAAGAAAATTGAGGAATTTTGCTCTCTTTATTTACTCAAATTGTCTGTGTAATAATAATATTTACTTGGTAATTTCTCAACTCATTCTCTCTTTGTTTTATGGACCATAATTCTGGCTTTTATAGCTGTGTCATACACAATTGTTATCATTTTAGAATATCAACCCCCCCTTTTCTTCTAGTATTCCAAGTGTTGGGGGGGGGAGGCATTGTAATGCTTATTTTCTGTTATGCCCCTTAACCCCCTGTGCAATTAATATTATTCAGAACAAGAGCAAAAATAACACATCCTGTTCACTATTAAAACCTTCCTCAATAACTCTAATGGCATGGCTGGGTCCAGCATTACCAAATGGACAATTCTGTATTACCAAGTCCTTAGTCTTGAGGAAACATGGTGTGTTTTTCAATCGAAGGCTCAGAATAAATTCTTATAAGCATTTTAGAAGGTTCTAGCCTTAAAGATTATTCACCTTTCATGCACGCTCAGCTGATAGCCTTAGACATACACTTACGCTAGTCATGGCTATCCTCTTCCATTTCCTTAAGAGATAAAATATATTTATAGAGATAGGGCTACCATTAGCGAAACTTGTGCAATTGTACAGGTTCGGAAAAAGATTTAGAGAAGATGCAAAGCTCATATGCAGCTTGATTTATTTTTCTGCCACCACTACCATAATTTCCTCTATTTTGGTTGTTCTTCATTTCTTGCATGTTGCTGCTAATCTGAGAGCAGTTTGTGACTATGAAAGAGATAGATGTGTGTGTGTGTGTGTGTGTGTGTGTGTGTGTGTGTGTGTATCAAAGAACACTGAGCCCTTAAAGAGAATTTTTTTTAAATGACTACAATATCTGTATCAATGCATTTTTAGTAATCAGTGGACTTGATGTAATAAGGCTTCTTAGATATCTAGGATATGCTGTCCACCTGAAGAGGACTTTTGTTTTTGAAACATCTGTCTCTTTCTTGAGTTATTTTACATAAATGGTAAAAGAATATGCTGAGGCTTCTACTCCCCTGAGCGCCACTCCATAACTACCAGCAATATGGCAAAATGGCAGATGTGGATTGGAAAACTTACGGTGTCCCTGCAGTACTTCTTCCCTACGGCCCCAGAAGAAGCATCTCCTGTACTCTTTTGTGTACTGCATAACATGATAAAACTAAGAACCCATGTCTACCATAGAAATCACTGATGGCTTCATTGTTACTTAGTAGTAGATGGGAATTTTTTTAAGTGGAATTTGTTTCATTTGGTATGAAAGTGAGGTGGGGATCAATCTTCCTGCCTATTGTATACTTGCCCCAAGGCAGGTTCTTAGACTGTTAGACTGTTGGAATAGAATTGTCCCCATTCCTACCAAAAACACACCCTACTTTATGGGCTATCAAAATAGCTGTATCCTGTTCCGCATCTAAACCCCAAATAACACTTAAGCAGCCAAATTAAAACATTAAATTGTCTGTCTGTTGTTGTTGTTGCCATTATTTACCAGATAATTGTTCAATTCTCCCCTTAGCTTTTACTATATGGACCAGGAATTCAAATCGTTGACCAGAGACTAAAATATTCCAAGCAAGGTGTCTGTTTTTTACAGGTGAGAATTATTTTAAGGTAACCTCATGTATCCAGAAGTTTAAAAAATAAAGACTATCAGTAACCAAAGGACAACATTTATGACATAGGAAGTACTCAATATCTGTTTATAAAAGGAAATGTTTTCCCCTGGAGTTTTATCTTTTTAGTTATGTTGGAACACATGTCATTTTATAAGAATTATTTTATAAACATGTTAAGGGATGCATTTATTTAACTGTACAGGCTTAGACCAGGTCTGCTACTACAAAGCAAGACAAAAACTTCAGCCATTTTCTACTGATTCTGGGCAGTATTAACAGCAGAGTGAAGTAGAGAAAAACCTTGGATTGAGAGTAACTTGTTCTGTGAGTGTTCCGCAGGACGAGCAAACATTTCTAATAAATTTTAACTTGATAAATGAGTTATGTCTTGCAATATGAGTAGTACCTGATGCTGGATATCACATGATTACAACTGAGGCATTGGTTCTTGAAATTCACTTTGATATACAAATGGTTTGGATTACAAGCATGTCTCCAGAATGAATAATGTTCGCAAACCAAGCATAATTTTTATTGTAATTTTAATAATCAAAATGAACTGCACCAAATGGCACAGAGTTGGTGTGTTACAAAGAGACATTAAACTGAAAACTTATAAATGTCTTCTTTGTGTTCAAACCCCTACTTTTTTCCAGGTGTTATGTGGAAAGTAAAAATTTAAGGGATAGTTGGGTTGGTTTTCCATGGACTAGTTACTGATCTCTACTTGGAAGAACCACAACACTCATGGGTTGCTTGCTTTACTCATGGCTGGCCCTGCTTTCCTAGAGTAAATATCCTTATTTTCCTTATAAATATGTCTGTATCCTTAACCATTTATGCAGTAATGACTGTATTGCCTTTTATTTGGTATTTTGTAGTATACGTTTTATTTCATTGGCATTGGTATTTTAATATTCAATTAATTTATTTAATAATTAATGATTACTATATTGGCAATGGTAATTATATAATGAAGATGTACTTTTAGTTCATTAAGCATTTAATCTTAAAAATTTTTTTTTTACATTTATTCATTTTTGAGAGACAGAGAGAGACAGAGCATAAGTGGGGGAGGGGCAGAGAGACAGGGAGACACAGAATCTGAAGCAGGCTCCAGGCTCTGAGCTATCAGTGCAGAGCCTGATGTGGGGCTCAAACTCACAAACCGCGAGATCATGACCTGAGCCGAAGTTGGACACTCAACCGACTAAGGCACCCAGGTGCCCCAGGCATTTAATCTTTTAAATGCCTTTAAAAAAAAAATGTTTATTTTAAGAAAGAGAGAGAGAGAGAGGAGAGAGGAGGGAGAGAATGCCTGTGTAAGCAGGGGAGGGGCAGAGAGAGAGGGAGGGAGAGAATCCCAAGCAGGCTGTCAGCGCAGAGCCCAACATGGTGCTTGATCCTGCGAACTGTGAGATCATTACCTAAGCCAAAATCAAGAATTGGACACTCAACCAACTGAGCCACCCAGGCACCCCTTAAATGCCTCTTAAATAACAATTTTATCTTTTAAAACACTACCTTGTATGTGTTTGCAGCTGAAATATAGAAATTAGAACTTGACACAATCTATATCTCTTCTTTTTCTTCTTCGTCTCACTGCTACTACTACCATTATTAAAAAGCTAGACATTGGGTATAAGATCACATACCCAAAACCACGGTCTTAATTTTAATAACTGCTCTTATTCTTATTCTATCTTGAATTAAATCATAATGTTAGAACATAGTGCAATAATTAAATGGAGTACACAACAATAACAATAAAATGAGTGAAGGGCAAATCATGTGCTTTCCATGGAAAAATTTGTATCAGAAGTTGTTCAGGTATACTTTTATTAAATTTTCTGTTTTAAATGAGATATTGGGAATATTGTTTTTGCATTCTGGTGTTTACCCGGATATGGATGCTCAAAGACAGATGTCTTAATGGAAGAAGCAAGATTGAAACATAAATGAAAACTTTCCTCAAAGAAGAGATCTCGAAAGGTTAGGGTGAGCCAAGTTACTGAAGCGTACTATATATTTCTGCGTTCTCTGCTTTTTTAACCTGAGATGTGACCTGATTTTTCCCTTTCATTCAAGGTCGTCACTAAACTCACAGAAAATCAAAAATAAAATAGTACAAAGGAGGAATAGACAAAGGAGAGTTTAGGTGCATATTTTAAGATACCACATTGGTTTAAAATAACTTACGATGAAAGGGTCACTTAAGAAGGGCACTGCTTAAAATTTAAGCAGGCAGTAATGGAAAGCGACAGACCTCAAACAATTTAAGTCTTTCACAGCTGAGTGAATTCACAGTGACAGCAAGACAAGGATGTGCTAACTTACCTCTGCAGGACCTTGGCTATTGCTTCATAGGCTCTCCCCAGGCTGAGATCATCTTCCAGGTCTATGGAGATTTTACTGTAAGTGTTAAGGACCTATCAGGAAAAGAAATACGTATTAAACATACAGCATGGCCAGATTCACTGATGTTTTCATTTCATAACAGAAAAGATTAAAATTAATAGCTGTTTTTAATGTCTCCATAAAATATTTTTTTGTGTATTAAAAATTCATGTTGGTTTGGTTTATTTTTATCCATAGTATAACTTGTTTCACAGCAAACTCTTTAAGCCATGACAGTGAGGTCTTACTTTTATAAAAATAATTCTTTTCCTGCACAATCCAAAATTTTCCAATTTATATAACTTAGGTGTGAATAAATAATTGAATGGTTTACAACATTATTTTAAAATATGGTACTATTATCTAAGGTAATGTAAGGCAGATTACAATATTCTACTGTGGTAGCTTAACTATCACGTTCTTTCTATAAATAGCAGTTTTGTAAAGTGTGAATTTAGGTGCTAAGCAATTTCTAAATCTATCATTTTATTAGATGCATATCTCACAGTTTGTACATGTAGTCAGTATACACTAAAAATATTTCTTAAAAATGTACTTCATTACCAACAATCTCTTCAATAATCAAAAGATTATGGCTGCCATAGCCAAACATATGATCTTAATTTAATTTAACACTGACATCAACTTTATGGTATAATTTTCCCTTTTATTCTTTTTCTCTCAATGACCAGAAGGAGGAAAATATGTAAAACAAAATTCCTATTCTTTCTTCTTCCTTCATTGTTACTTGACCTAACCTATTACACACATGAGGACACAGGAAATCTCCAAAGGCCTCTATGGAAATCCTTTTTGCACATTTTCTAAGGCAGAATTAGTGAAAGTCATTTGACAGCATTTGGAGAGAGAGGCAGGGTGAGGGAGGACATAAATACGTGCTTTATGCTACTGCCCGCATTAGGCAGCTTTGAAGATTTAAGTATTGGAGGCAGTATTGACATTTGACTTTACTTTCTTGAAGTTAACATTTGGGAAATAATTTCAACAAGGCCATTACGATACCGCATAACATTTGTTTGTGTGTGAGTGTGTGTGTGTGTGTGTGTGTGTGTGTGGTTTGCAAGTGACGGCTTGATGTAACACTGACATTAAAACTTACTGATACATATTGACCCAGTGTTTTAAACCTACAAAGTTAAAATTTTTGATTCTTATTTTTAAGCTTATAATATGCTTTGTATAAACCCAAGGATATTATTTCCACTTTGTCTTGCATACCTGACAATACCTACATTAAATCTGATACGATTTGACATAGACCTTTCTGAGTTAAGGGGCAGAACTCATGAATTTTGTAAATTTATAAGAGACCTTATTGAATCCAAATACCAAAATATTTAGGAAGAGACCTTCTAGTGTCTTTTTTTGGTTGATACATTTTTATATATGACATTTTAGAACTTTACGATTGAACATTATTAGATTTCTTGCCAAAAACAACTTGTTTATTCACCAAATATCGTTACTGTGTACCAGGTGCTATGTTAGACCCTAAGAAATCTTAGAAGGGAACATGCTTGCAGCCCTGAAGGCGCTTACAGTCTTATGGCACAGAAGTTTGGGTTGATACGCTGTGTAAATTAGCAATGACTGAAGGCAGGGTTCCCCAGGGCTTACACCATGCTTCTACTGCACACTCTCCCATGCCCCTGGTCACCTGGAGCAGCACAGTAAGTCCCACAGGCGCCCATTACCTTGAGGATGTGACTCTACCCTCTGGATAGGAGGGTAGGTGTTCAAGAAATGATAGGTAAATATTTCAGTGCTGGTGACACTTTAATTTGTGGCTTGAGAGAGTTCATACATCAGCTCAAACACTTTACCTAAAAACAGGAAACACATAGGCAGTAGGAAGCACATAGTTCACTATTGGCCCAGTAGGGAAACAATGAATGACATGAAGTCCAAACTGAAGACCTAGAATGTGCCATAGAGGAGCCCATCTAAATCAGGCAGGACCTCTGCTCCTCAGGAATGTGAACTCTAGGGGGAGACAGTAAATGCAGACAGGTGGATGGATGGCAAGAACACAAGGCAAAACTCAGCACATTGGGGAATCATATAGTTAAATCTAAGGGGTATAGGAAGGACATTGTTAAAATAAAGAGGAAAAACTCATAAAAGTGGAAAAATAACATGAGATTAAATATTGTGCTGAAAATAAAGACGTTTTACATTGATCTTCTGGTAAGCTACGTTACCTGCTTTTTAATTAACGTAGGCAAGGTATAATTTACAAGTGAATAAACATTAATCAATTCAAATCCCTAGGCAAATAGTGGAGTCTTTTTTTTTTTTTTTTTTTACAAAGAATAATACTTCAATACTTCAAGTGAGAAAATACAGTGTGCAAATCTGAGAGATCAACTGTACTTGGTTGAATATCCCTTTGGCACACAATATGCTGGAAATGAATCCAGATTAAGTTCTATCATCACAAATCGAAGAGGAGAGAATAAAGACTCTCAGATGCAAACTCTTTTGATGAACTGAAAATTCATTATGTATCTTTAAACTTTATTCACAATGAACTTAATCAACCTTTGTCAAAAGACAAAGGAAACATGATTAAGCACACTACTAGATAAATTTCAATGAACACCAAACTGTGTAGGATTACAAGGTTGTCAAAGTTAGAAAAATCAGTTCATATACCACACAAAAATCGAGCACTACATAGGTACCTAAATGGTTCCAATAATTTCAGTGAATAATGGAGATGAAGCTTTGAAAACTATTTCACTTCAAGTTTTAAAGGCAACGGCCTCATCTTCCCACTAGAATAAAATTGATTTACTTGAAAAGGCATTTTCAAATAAAATCCCAAGTTCCTAAAATGAGATAATTTGTATTGGTCACCTAAAAACAAAACTAGTAGAATACTTAGCATAAAAAATGAGAATGTGCAAAAGAATCATGCTGGCAATATGCTACAAATTCTTTGAAGAATTGTTACTGTAAGATAAAATTTTACGGGTCATTAATTTCTCTTGCTGCAATATCCTTCGAGGGAACACTGGACTTAAGTCAAGATTGTCACCTGTCAACAAAGTGAATGGGAGACAGTGAGAGAGAGGCAGAGAGAGAGAGAGAGAGAGAGAGAGAGAGGGAGAGAGAGATTGAGAAAAAAGCATAGGAAAGTAGCCTTGTCCTCCCAGATTATAAGAATATATTTTGTGTCTGAGCTTTGGTACTTTTCAGGGCAGATACATAAGAAGTCATTATTAGGTCTATTAATATCAAACGCCCAATTGTTCTATATAACCTTTAAATGTTTAGGATTTCCAGTTATGAGGGTGCTTGGAACAAAAGAAAATGATCTATTTTATATTGACCCCCACTTCTTGTCTTCTTCTATTTTCTCATTCCACATCTCTCTGCAATTCCTCTTTTACAGTCCCCTTATCTTAGACAACATTAAAACAGAAAGAACTTCCAGCAATCATGGCCCTTATATTTGTTTTCACAGCCAAAGCCTGCTTTAAACCACACTCCTGGCCTAACTCTCCCAAATTAGATGGAATCATCTCCCTGCTCTTTGGCCCAGCCAGCTGTTATAAGAAAACACTGTTCCAGTTAATTTGTTTTAAAACCTTTATATATTTTTAAATGATTGTAGATTCACATGCAATTATAAGAAATAATACAGAGCACTCTCATATATCCTTCACCGTCTTTCCCCAATGGCAATATCTCACGTAACTACAGTACGGTCTCACACCAGGAAATTGATGTTGATAAAATTCATCCACTTTTTTCAGATTTCACAAGTTTTACTTGCACTCCTGTGTGTGTGTGTGGTATTATTGTTATTGATGATAATGATGATATTAACGTATTATTGATAATATATTTACGCCAATGAATTACAGAGCTATTTTATCACATGCATCTATCCATGTAATAAACACCACTATAGCTAAGATACAGAAAAGTTCTGTTGCTACGATGATCCCTCACGTTACCCTTTCATTTTTAGTATGTTTGCTGCTGGAAAAAGTGGAGAAAAATTATTTTTCTTTTTTTAATTAAAAAGAAAAAAAGAATCTTACATAGGAAAAAAATTCTGAAATAACTTGGCAGCTGATCTGTTCCCTTTTGGCACACACCTCGCGTAACACCTTGTGCTTCACCAAGGAAATTTCCTCAGCTAAGTGATAGAAGGACAGTAGTTGGTCATGTAGTTCATGTAAGTGAATGACACAGAAGAAGTTGTAGGTTTTTTTCAAAAAATTTTTTAATGTTTATTATTTACAGAGAGGGGAGGCAGGTTAGAGAAAAGAGTGTGAGTGGGGAGGAGAGAAAGCTAGGGGAGGGGCAGAGAAGAAGGGAGACAGAATCTGAAGCAGAAAAGCCATGCCTCCCAGCACAAGAACTTCACAGGGAAATAAACTCACACCATAAAGATCATGATGACCTGAGCTGAAGTTGGATCTGAACTAAAACTACCCAAATTGCCCCAAAGTATGATGTAAAAAGTGCTGAAGCCTGGGTAACTCTGAAATCAGTGCTTGACGACTTGACTCCGAGTCATAATCTCCCCAGTGTATGAAGTTCAAGCAGTAAAGGCTATTGCTGACCTTTCAAAACCTGGAAACCTACTTGAGACAATACTCCCCTCTGTCTCTGCCCCTCCCCTGTTCATGCTCTGTCTCTCTCTGTCTCAAAAATAAATAAAAAACATTAAAAAATATATATCAAAAAAAAAAAAATAAAAAGAGGATGCTTGCTAGCCCCAAGTCACTTCTTCTGAGTGGAGTTTTATGTGGTCTAACGAAGTGAAATGAAACAATTCAGATAGTGTGTGGCAGGATAATTGGGGACAAAGGTTATAAAACGAAAAAGAAAGGCCAGCCTTCTATTGAAATTCAGCCTTATGATATGATCCCTTAAGCAGGTACTGATTTTTATAACCTCTTTTTTGGGGTCTACTTCTATACCTCAGGTTTTCTAGAAGCCTCACACACTTGCCCACAATCTCTTTATCAAAGTAGTATGGAAGAGATGAAAA